ATCGAGGTTTATTAGCTGGCGATCTCGTGGCATCGAAAGGATACCGAGATCGTGCCAGGATACAACCTTGGTTACATAAGGTAACCGAATTCGCGCGAAGTTACAATCGAAGTGTAAGTGAAAGAATGGAAGCACAAAACAGCTGTCATTAGCACAGTCAAACAAAAGCACGTTAAAACAAACACTGGTACAGTTGGTTGTAATAATAATTGTTTTTATTAAACCAGTCGTGTTCTCGTGATAAACGTGAGTCACTACAGGAGCCCCCCGCTAGAAAGGGTTTACACTTTCGATAAATAGCGGTTTGAATCGTGGGACTGATCGGCTGACGAGCGATTGTAGGACGGAAGAATTGGCGAACAGGAAAGCGATCGTTGATCGTCGAGTTGCCAACGAAGGTCGTTTTCGGAGAACAGTACCAGGAACGATGTGTTGCATTTATTGCTCGAGTTGGCATGCTACACCAGAGTGGTTTGTATCCAGAATCTGAAGAGGGCGTTCGTACGGGTCCGGACCATAAACGCTGCAGACGAAGGACGAAACCACGTTGAGCCGAAGAACCAGAAGCGACCATAACGACCAAGTTCGAGACCAAGCATATGCCAAGCATTCGAAACCAATATATCGACTGAGTACGTTGACAAGAGCGTGGGTGATCAGGCCAGCTTTCGCCAAAGTTGACTGAAGTCGACGGAACCAAACGTAGATGGTCGAAGGCGTGGGCTCAGGAAACAAAAAGAAAATCAAAAAAAGAAGAGTGTAGCATACGTGTAGTATAGGAATAATCCTATACCGTATCGGTTGTTGACTGTGCGACTAGTCGCGGAGGCGTACGGGTAACCGTACTCGGCGACCGGAACGTGAGACGGCAGTCTCGTTCGTATTTCGTGAGCCTGCAATCTCATCCGAGGTCAGAGGCGGCGTGGTCTGCTGATCTGGACGTGAGACTGTCGTCTCGTCCGTAGACGATGCAGATGACGCGTGCTGTTGACCGGGACGTGAGAATGAGGTCTCAGATGCATCTAGCGTGGGACCTGAAGAAGATTTAAGGATCCCGCTAGGTGTGATAGGTCTAGCATTGAATCTCAGGGTGTCAGATAGGGCACTGTCATCGACGTGTGCTGGTCTGAGACGATCAATGCTGACGATCTCGACGCGTCCATATCGATCAACCTTGAAGGTCTTTTCGTGACGAGCGATCACGTGAAAAGGGCCTTCGTAAGGTTGTTGCCAAGGTTTGCGTACCGAATCTACTTGTACAAAAACATGTGAACAGGTAGATAACTCTCGAGGGAGAGCGACCTGTCGATGTTGTATTCGAGTTGACACCGGAGACAGCGTTCGCATAAATGCAGACAGTCGATGGACGTAGTCTGATTTACCGAAATTAGGTCTGCTCCGTGGTGTGAAGAATTCTCCGGGCAGACGCAATGTCGTGCCGTATACAAGCTCAGTGGCGGAACATTGGATATCTGCCTTTAAGCTCGTTCTCGCCCCTAAAAGAACGAGCGGTATGGTTTCGTGCCAGTTGCCGTTTTCGTGTGCTCGTAGAACACTTTTAAGTTGGCAGTGAAACCGTTCAACTTAACCATTTGGTGCTGGGTGGTAGACGGATATGCTTATGCGTATGCATTCCGTACCAAGCAGCCGGGTCAGCGAGGAGAATCGTTAATAAGGTAACATTTCTCGAATAAAGCGTGGAATTCATCATCACGCGAATAAAAAGTGACAAGGGTTCGGTACACATACGTGTGAGTCTATTATATTAATACAATTCTTATCGTTATCCGTCATGTCGCGTATATTATATATTAAAAAATATGAAAATATACGACAGACGTGGATAGATAAATCATAGACTCACCGAATTGGCTTCTTTGGAAGATTTGATCAGAAGTTGAGGCGTGTTCCAAAATACGGGTCACCAATTGTAGAAGAGTTGGATTACCAATTGTATTCGAATTGGGATTACCAATTGTAGCGTGGCGTCGAGTTGAGGTTAACTGTGAACACCGCTACCAAGAAACACGTGCCAAGCGAATCAGAAGGCGTAAGAAGCTCGTTCCAAATGACTCCATAAAATCCCCGAGAAGCCAAATATCAGAAGACAGTTAATGGACCAAGTCGAGGTTTATTAGCTGGCGATCTCGTGGCATCGAAAGGATACCGAGATCGTGCCAGGATACAACCTTGGTTACAGAAGGTAACCGAATTCGCGCGAAGTTACAATCAAAGTGTAAGTGAAAGAATGGAAGCACAAAATAGCTGTCATTAGCACAGTCAAACAAAAGCACATTAAAACAAACACTGGTACAGTTGGTTGTAATAATAATTGTTTTTATTAAACCAGTCGTGTTCTCGTGATAAACGTGAGTCACTACACATGTGTGGTCACTGTTAAATGTTATTTTATATCTTTTATTAGTAATTAATAAATTGTTCTTTCTGCAGACTAAACTTGTTCTTCATCATATATTGATAATTGGTACAGTACGATGAGACAGTGTAAATAATTATGTGACTTCTACGTAAGATTATATATATTAGGCAGTTTCATCATGGCAAATCAACATGTTCGTAGCTCGTTCTGTTATTCGAGCAGTACTTATATCATAGTAGAGCATAATTCCACATTGGTAAGCCCGACCAAGAAAACGCAACGTAATACAATTGATCCTTATTTCCATTTCAACTTTCTCGATCGACTTTTATTCATGTGAATCCATTATTCTAATAGCCTTCTGATTATTGCTTACATGTATTATCGTCATGTTATATTGATTAGTACTTATAACATATCAGCTGAGTCGACATTAATAACTGATCATCTATATTATTTATGAGCTCAGTTGGTTTATTAACAAGTTTTAATAGCATTTACATGCTTCAGTGAAATAAACTTGTCCAAGCATCAGGATTTAGAGAATATGAACTGTGAATGACGTAAACATATATTGATTAGCAACGTAAGCAAGATCTGAATGGTTAACAGTACCTAATCTTTCATATTCGCTATTCACTTAACATTCAAATTTGTATTAAATTATGGACTATCGTGTGACATCTTTTCTTCCGACCACTGCCTATCTAGATTCAAAATGCTGAGTTCCATGGGCGAACAAAGGATACGAAAGCTAGAAATTTACGGTAAGTTCGAACTATAAATTTCTTGCCATCTTAGATCTCATTTAGACTGTTCGTCAGGCAATACTAAATATTTGGTTTCAATAAATTTTGGTTTTATACAAATTCAGTCTACAATGCTGTGTTATTCCAGGAATTTAATGAACAGTACCTCGTATATAATCCAGATTCGATCTACTGTAAAATTCAAATTTTTATTGGTTGGAAACAAAAATAGCCCACGCGAGTTTTAGCTTTTTCCCTTTCCTGGTTATTTACTATGTCTTTAGCACTTGGTAACTTACATAGATTTTTCCTTCAAACTGGTTGTGTATATTTCATACGAGCTACTTTCAAGACGTTTCGGTAGAAATATTTAATATTTTTATACTGCAAGACACAATTAAGAAAAGCTGTGTTGTTCAAAGACATTTCTTAATTCCAGTTGCTTTTGCAACATATTTGTGAATGTCACTAGGCTAAATGCAAGAACGTCTTATGGATATTTTTTATCCCGTCATATTCCTAACTAAAGTTCCACAAATTGTCTTAACTTTAACTTTATTTTTCTGACCATGTATATAGCGTTTCAATTGTCATATTCCTCAAAAACCTGCATGTAAACCAAGCCCTTACCCACGTTGCACTTTATGTCTTTTAAATTAAAAAATCATATGTATCGCCGTCAACATTTATTAAGAAAATCACTCATATTTTTTGTTACTATACGTGTTTTTGTTTATGAATTGCCAGCCTAAAAATTCTAACATAGGTTAGATAACCGAGTTAAACATTTAGGTACTATCAACTAGTATAATAACTAAACTCTCAGGTATTTTGTGGCTAAACAAACGTTTGAAATCAAAATTCTGGAACCTACTACTAAAATTCACACCAGACGAATTGAAGTTTATAAAGTAATCAAGCAGCTCGGATTCTTTAACGCTACAAACGTCCGCTATTTCATAGGCAAAGAAAACAACAATACATATTTTCAACTGGCTAATACTCAATCAACGTTATAATTAGTTAAAGATATTGACTTCAGGATATCGTCATTAAGCATTGTCGTGATATGACAATCATGTAATATGATTGATAAAATTGATGAAACTGTTAACAAAATCAGTCAACAAATAGACTTGAAATTATCACTAAATGGTGTTGTTTTCTCGTTATCTTCATTCACTGAAGATGGTTACATTATGTTTCTCTATCGGTTCCCCATTATGTATTTATCTTAAAACTGTCAGCTCAATTGGAGGTTAAACGACACTTTCATGCATGCAAATCATCAGTATTGGAAGGAGAGATCATAATAAATATATCATTTCTTATACCCCAATGAGTGGAAAAATTGCATCATTGATGTTTCATGAATGAATGTAGGCCATTTCTTTGCAGAGTAAATAAATAACCGAAATTCAACCGACGGAGATATAGCTATGTAAGCAGCAGTCCAATAAAAGATGAATTGTGTTGATGTACGCATCTAGACCTATTGTGATTCCTTGCAATCTTGTCACTTTGTGGTGGTATAGGACAATAACCACACAATCCACAAAGCTGAACACGAGACTACTCAGAAAACAGATATTCAATATTTAACGCGGAGAAATACCTGACGATGGAAAAGGCGTGAACAAGGGATTGAATGAATTGGAGTTGATCGGATGGCATGGCTCGGCCATACAGGCGTGGTCCCTCTGAAAGTTACCTTATATCTTCTATTCATATTAAATATATTATTCCTTCTCTGGCCTAACCTTGTTCTACATCATGTATTGGTAATTGATGCGGTACAGTGAGTTGGTGTAATCGATGGTGTGACTTCCACGTAAGATCTTATAGATTAGACAGTTATATCATGACAAATCTACAATTTTGGGATTAAGGCTATAATTAGAGCAGTACTAATATCATAGTAGACCATAATTCTACAATTTACTTCTTGGCATAAATAACAAACATTCTCGGAATAACCCGACTGACATTTGAATGCCTCGATTGCAGATATGGACACGTTGAAATTTGAGTGGTCTTTCGAATGTGTTCCGATCTGAATAACACGATGAATGTGATAGTGAAGGACACAACAGATTAAAGATAAATCTCAATGAACCACAGAATTTAAAATTAATACTTATGATTTGTTACTTGATACTTTTGTCTGAACTCTTATTGCTATTGTTCTTTCCATAGAAGGAATACCACTTTATGATGTTGGTTGTTTATGAAAGAAAAGAAACCAAGTGGATGATGTCAATATAATGTTGTGATGGGTCAGCTGCCTACTAATACGTAAGGCAATATATCACTATTTGATTAAAGTGAGTTCTATCGATACATAAAGGTTTGAAGCGAGAGAAAAGCATGTCTGATGCCATAAATGAATGACTTAACAAAAGTACATAGTTCTGTGTACCATCAGTCTCTGTTTGAAAATTCTAAAGAGAATTTGTGATGTTTATAATGATTGCTGAGTCTTGCACTTAACTGACAGCATCATTCCATAATCAATGTAATCAGTTCATATTTGTTTACAGTCCACTGTCATGATACACCAATTCATTTGTAACCACTAAAGTATGCGTTGAATAGTTTTAGCCACTGAATATCAGGGGAGATGAATGGAAGACGAATCAGACAACTTGAGCGTCAGAATATATAACTGTCAGATTTCGTTTCTCAGTATGACATTGTGCTATCAACGACGAAATTATGAATTTGCGATTTCGAAAACATTACAGAAGCGTGTATTTGTTAAAATGTCATTGCTTATTGTGTCGTAGCTTATAATAAACTACTAGAGAATAGTAAATTGCATTATACACATCAGACTTGTGTCATGCGTTCGAGACTGATATCCTTATTCGTGACATGAAACCATCATTATTCATCACATCAATAACATATCGTGAAGCGATATCTGTCACAGGAGAAGTGATTGACCTTAAGTGATATGTCGTGCATGTAATCACACGTGTTCACCTCGTGTACTGAAGTCTAGATAATTATATTAAACATCAAGTATTATTGATGAGAAATGAATCATTGCATTTCTCAAAGTTTGTAGTGACACTGCATTTATTGATTCACTAAATAAAACCATTTTGACAAATTCTATAATTGAATCTTGCATACAAAATATCCCTTAGATATTCTGTTGCATTGTGGATAAACCACAATATTTTGCATTGATACAGCGTATGGAGTTATACAAGTTGTATTTTCACAGTTTAACATTGTGATACTTTCAATGAACTGAAATCTGACAATAAGCTCAAGCTGAACATCAATCACATAAAATGAGTGCATATGATCTCATTTTTAGACAGATAGTTAAAGGTCATTCATTCAGCCCACTCATATGATGTAATCCTGTTAATGACTTGCCATATTATGTCATACACGAACTAGTGCAGTCATTTATTTTGAAAATCATAGTGGTCTTGTGTATAGTTACACTACGAAAACCTACATAATTATAATCATCCGAATAAACGTTCCCTGAATAATGTGACATGTAATTGTCGAGATGTACTGGATAGCTTACTGGTTGTGTTGAACAAGTAGGACCTAGTTTATTTTTCTGAGCCGATTATCCTCAACACCATTTCAAGTTTTGAATTACTAAGAAGATTACCAACTGTTATGAATTGATGATAAAATACATGACGCTTAACAACAGTTAAAGTCAGTTCAATCACTTCTCTCAACTGAGCTCTAATCGTGTTTGAGATTTGTCATAGTATGGAATGCATGCATGTTTGAAATGTGTGGAATACCTGTTCAAGTACAATCACTTATAGTGTCGATATGTGTCATTTGGCTTTTACATGATAGGTGGCGTTAGACAATTGAGATTGAATGATGGACCGGTGAATCTCGGTAATATGTATTCTTCGAATATCCACCTACCAAATCTACAGAATAACATTTAATTTTAGTGAAGAAAGCACAATCTGCTCACTTACACGTTATTGTTTAGTTAAAATATTTGATAATAAGTTCCAAGTGTATTGCAATGCACCGTTGGTGGAGATCATGTTGTTTGTGCAAAGTTAGTTAGATTTGCTACAGCCTAAACTAAAAATGAGATTCCAAACATTTGAAGAAACTGTTTCTATCGATATTTCTTCACTTGTATTTCGCTCTGATTGTGTTATATTGGAATCAACGTTTTTCAGTGACGGGGGATTCAACCACACACTTTTGATTCACCATTTTTGCTGTTGTTGTGATAGATAATCCTGGGCTGTACGTTTATGGATGACCATGAACTCAATGTACACATTTGCCCTGGTACAGACGGGAGTGAGAATGTCGGTTCAGATGTTCAGAGGTTAGAAGCCGTCCACAAAATCTGACATTTTAAAAACTAACCATCGGTGAGTTGTTTGACGCCAAACTCTGAGGAGTCGTATCATCGAACTAAACAGCCAACCTACGCGTTGAAGTTTCGAGTGATTGTTTCAATCAGATAACTCGATAATGTGTGTTATTGAAAAATAACATTTGCTGTACTCAAAATTGTTTGATTGCATCACAAGATAGTATAATATATGTGGATGTCACTAGTAACCTCATGTTTGCTTTATTCAATTGAGATTTGGATTATTTTATTTACGTCACGATCACTGTATCAACTCATCTGATATTTGTGGTTGTGTCAAAAACAGCCATAATTAATCTGATCAGATTTGTGGTAACTTGATTGGATGAAACTCGCAATCTGCTTGCAAAATGAAAATATAAAAAGAGATGGGTATGTGATTGGTTTAATTGACGTGATATCGTAGTCTGAAAGTAAGTTATTCAAATATTCAGTATTCATTTATTGTTTCCGTAGGTTTTTGAAATTTATTTGAAAAATATAGACTAACACTGATGTACAATTTGTCAATAATAGAAACAGTTATATATAACAAAACGTTGAGTTCGACAAATCGTATCATTTTTGTATAAAAAAATTCATTATTATCTGGTGCAGTTCACCACTGAGATTGGATGAGTGTAGTGCAATGTTTAGAAACGACGATAGTTAGTATTTTGGACTATGAGAGGCCAAACTGGTTATCTTAACTTTAAAGACATAACATGATTCTTGAAGTATTTATGATTGAACACTGTTCTGGACGTTCTTACTGAGACAACAAGTCAAAACTACTGATCTTGAAACTCCCACAGTTGTTAGCTGAACCCATTCCCTGATGGAACATTATGACTTAAACAATCTCTACATATATCTAACAAACATTCAACGAGTAGTAAAAGCTGTTCAATATATATTAAGATGCATTATCAAACTTCATTTCAGGAATTCACTCGATGTATTACGCAAAATGGAATCAGTATTCACCGTATGAAACAGGAATTTAAATATTCGACCATGTGAACCTGGTCAACAAAATAGTTAAATAACACATGAGCTATGTATGTTGATTCTCTCAGAGGTTTATGGAATAGTGGAAAGTTAACATACGATGAAAAAGTTCCGTCAATCTTAATTATATTCTGTGCTACCATATACAGATGGAGCAACTAGACCGACTTTAGCTTTTAGATTTAAAATAGAGAAAAGTCAAATAACCAACCATTTTCTAATATATTATCTTGACTAACATATCTCAGACGATATGTAGTTATTTTGATGACTGATCAATCCAAACACATGTTATGGTTGTGAGAGTCTGCTTTGTGTATAGACCACCGTTTCCGTACCCCACGTTGTCAGTTTATAACATCAAACCATCCACGATGTTCTGTGAATGTCTCAATTTATACGCATGACAGCCCCTCAACTGAACGTTTATTAAAATTCTTTTTTACCCTACAGACAAATATTTCAAATTAATTTGAAGCTGAATCACCTCCGAATGATGATCAAAAATACTTTCGTTATTGTTTTAACATTCACAACTCTACTGCTGAATACTCACAACGGTATGGAGGGAAAATCATCATACAAAACCTACTTAAATCGAAGTGGGTTATTCAACAAAACCCTTATTGATTTCACTGATACTAAAAACAAAACTGTATTTGAAGGCTGGATAGAGTATTCAGATAAAGTTCAACGATCTAAAGCCACGCTCGTACCACTTTATGGACAGGTAAAGTTAATTTATATATGCAATTTAACTGACACCATGTTTAGAATTACCAATCAGCCATATTCTTCTATCTACTCAACTCACGACCAAATGGATCTAGTTTTGCTGGCGTCCACAGGATAATTTATATTCCGGTTTGGCCAGCATATGGCGGTGTAGTAATTGATCTTCATAGACAAGGTCTAGATTCCACCTTCAAACTGATATTCTATGGAAACTGTGGAGATATACAAAATTGTGGAACATGTGAGTCAAATTTCAAGGTAATGTGAAATTCAATTTGTTTTATATGAAGAATTTATAGACATCTGGCGTACGACAACGAATAGAACTACCATTTAGCAAATTTACAGAACACTGTCGTGAAAGACAGATGTCCAATCAACCGCCTTTAAATCTAAACCAAATATCTGGATTCGGAATTCAAGCACATACAGGTAGAAATGGGACTAAACAGCAAAATGGTGTAGGTTCCATCGAAATATTCACTATTTCAATATATAATGGAGTCCGAAAGCCAAATTAAACACACCGAGCTTATATGGAATTTCGCCTACTTGATATGTAGCACTTATTGATAGTATGATAATTTTCGTTTATATTAAATAACTGGGTCAATAAATAACACATATCCACCTATGAGAGTTGACTGTTTTCACGGGTTCATTAGAGTTCACACGAACGTCATTGAAGGTAAACTGTGATGTAACTCGGGTGGCTGAATAGAAATGCATTCAAGTAGTTGAGAATATTTCCTGCTTACCTCGAAGTAACTGTCAGTCGTTGTGCACACGTAGAACTACGTTTACTTTCAGGCACCAAACCTATTGGTGATATTTAAAAACATGATATTCAGTGAAGAGATCACTTTTGGAGGGACTTAATATGGAGCCGTATATTTGTACATAGATATGAAGATGTTTTCACCAAATGTATTGGTTTCGTGATGAATAGCTGAATTGATGTAATTGTGAGGTTATAATACTAGATCACGTAATACGAATAGAAACAATAGACTAATTAATTAAGCATTGAGCTTCCACGGGAATGTAGTAAGATGATTAACATGTGTATGTAAATAAAGATACACCTATACAGTATTTCACATCTATATATACTACTCATTATTGTATTTCTGTCATCACGAAAACTGTGAATGATTGATATCTCTCTAGCGAAACCAATAACGTTGATATATTCTAGTCATCAATCCGATGTTTTTCAATATTAGACAAGCACGGAAAACAAGAAGGAATAACGGGCGTGCATTAGTGTGTGTTTGAGAGAGAAGTAGGGGTTGAGAGGATAGTGGAAATAAAGCATGAATAAATCAATTCTAATAATCTTGACAATAGTGTAAAACAAAAATGTTATAAGTGATAAATAACAATCGTAAATGACTCGACCAAATTACTTCTGCTTCAACATTTACCTTCCTGGATTCAACATGTACTGATCATTTTTGATAGAGATCAATAGAGTATCTAATAGTTAAATTGGAAGTATCCGATTGACAGTGATGATCAAAAGATGTAGACGTTAATAGGCACAGCTCATAATTGAGACACGAGTAAGCATTTCTTCATCTTAACTTTTCACATTTCCTCCGTATGTAACCTGGTTTTTATACAAATGTTTAATGTAACAATCTGAAGATTCGAAATTTTTTCCTAAAATCAATAGTAGACTTATTACTTAGACCAATTTACTATTTGTCTTGTTCTGTGAATGTTGTATACTGATCAACTGAACACGTTTCTCATTTCATTTAAGCTATTAGCTCATAGGATTTGAAGTAAATCTTCTAAAAACAGCCTAGCTCGTTATTATATCAACAGTCATAAGTAATTGAATTTCAAATTAACGCACAATCACAAATCAATTCTGATGCCCTATCAACAATATCAAACGTGAATTTATAGGTGTAGACTGATAAGAAACTGTATCTGACTACAATTCATAATAATGACTAGTCGCAAATTGAATCTCCAATTATTACTATATTATTACAATGGAATTGGTAGTGCTAATAATAAGTCAAGAGTAAATCGACTGCTGACATTTGTTTATGACACGATGAGTACATAGACGATACACACCATCACTTCTATTGATATAGTGAAAAACTCAGTAGTAAAGTGTGACCCATTTTAGTTGACCGAGTTTGTCGATTAACAAGAGATTAGTTTCGAATCACGTCGAAATGTTTTCAGGCACTTTGATCATTAAAGATGCCATAGTTATTTGTAGATTAACAACACCTTAAACAGTCACATCTTTGATAATCCAAAAGTGCCAACACAATGAAATCAGTAGTGAGAAGCTAGGAGGTTCAATAGCTTGTTTGACGAGCTATGGACATATGGAGACGTGACGGACGTAAGATGTCTAGCGGTTGTAGGGGACGTTAAGCACAGCCTACGCAATCGTGATCTAGTGCGGATGATTGAACGAGTACCTTCAGCTCACCAAAACCAATTAGATCAAAATCAAATGTCGAAGACGTACAGATCTACTGAGTTCGCAGGTTTTTTCATCGCTGCAACAAGCATGGCTAAGAAAACCGAATAAATGACAAAGCAAAACAAAATAACAATTTCTGAAGTTCTAACTAATATTCCAATTAAAAGTACTGAATATCACGTAGGCAGACGATTTTTTATAATAAACAGTGATCTTTCGGCTATACTGACTGAACTATTCAAATACAATAAATACTCTTGCAGTCACATGTCCGCACCCACAACTATGCACTGGCTCTAATTTCCATGAGGTTCAAAAGTGAAGTAACTACCAACTAATATCGGTTAATGTCAGTCAGTAACCACGAATAAATAATGTTTTACCAGTTACACTATTTATTGTTAACTAGACCACCGTTAAAAAGATCGATGCACTCAAAAGCCTAACCATGAACAAAACACCTCTGTCTATACAGTCACAATTTAGAGGCGATGCGCCCAGTGAAATATTCCGTCTAAAGTTACGCAGATTAATCTAAAGAGCTTCTAACGCAGGCGAACTACAATCAGTGTTTTCCACACATGGAATGATCATTCTGTTGTTGAAAAAAATTTTTCTGAACTAATCACTCCTTTCTGTATCTATTAATTAAACCGCTTCTGTATAGCTTGTTGTGTAAGTAGAGATGTTCTGGGGATTTGTATATTCGGGCTCGTGAGCAAACCTCAGTGTGGTTAATCAAAGGTGTAGTTGAAAATGTTGACAGTTCCACTTAAGCTCATTTCATTCAGAGTTGACACACTGCCAACATGGAGCAACATTTTACAACAATATATCATGTTAACAGTAGTCTACGTGATTCGGTGTTACTGCGATATCTTTAGACGTGTGAAACAGTTGTTATTCAGATCAAGACACTAGGGTTTTGCCACATAAGATATGTCTTTGGCCGCTCCGTTTACTCTAACCAAGTTCGAGCTCAACTAGTTGTTAGTCAATTGACTGTTATGGCGACATAGTTGTTCTAATGATAAATTTTGTATGCAAAACTTATTTTATCTACACACCTTAACATTTTCACTATTATGATTGTAATTATTACACATGCTGATCGTTCTCAGAAATGTATTCAGTGTCCAACCAACATCAATAATTTGTGCACTATCCATATAATTCTGCGTATAACACTATTCTTGATTTTTAATTACATGCTGACCATTATTCATTATCTATTTCACATTGAAAACGGAAAGTTCAGTGAAGGAATCTCTTTTCATCGAATATATTTTGAAGTTGTTCAATCGTAAACATATTATGATGACCGTTTTTCCTCCAAGTACTAGTTTTGTGAAGAGATATGAACAAGAAATAAACGAAATGACGTGATGGACAGATTGCTACACTGGATTACGTAATGTGGATAATAACAATAGACCTAAGAAGTTGGCAAGAAATCACAACGCGAACGTTGTAAGATTAATAAAATGTTGCTGTCAGTTTAAGAATAGTAGATACAACTACAGAAGCATTTTGACTAAAATGCACAGACAGGATATCAACGAACCCAATAATGTTACGAATTTGATTATCAAGATATCTCATCAAGAAAGTGCAACTGTACTTCTTAACAAAAATGACTTCTTTGACAAGATCAATATTATCTTGAATAATCACCAAAAACTTCAGGAAGAGAATGACCAAGAGGATGTCATCAAATAATATAGATAGAACTAAACAGATCACTGGCGAATCTCAGATATCAACACGTGATTCCAACAAACATCGACGAAACAATTTGTCTGCTAGTTACCCACTTACCTAGGTTATGCAGACTACGAACGTACATTTGAAATTCATTGGTGGAATGTATAGACCATTAGATGGTGTCGCTATGGGTTCACCCCCAGGTCACATTTTACTCGCCAAACTAGAAGGCACTCCACTAGTACTGACAAGTTTTCATTTTACTGCCGATATATGTACAATAGGTTTATGCATTGGAATGTTTAGATCGACCTGATATATACTTTAGCGATTCAACGTAGTTCGTCCCTCCATAAAATTCGTATTATACAACATCATATTTTACATTTTTCTCTCATTGTGTCTCTCTCTTATGCCATATTGACCATATTTATTCTGGTTATTATTTGTCTCACAGTTTCATTTCACTTATAAATTCATTCACTTTTGACATTTCGTATCAGTCGGATCCACATGAACAGTTTTAGGCAATATTGTGTGCCGTCATCTGCATGAATTATCTAAGCAAGTTATTTGGATCATTTATTTTGATTGTCCACTCAAACTGGAAGTAACGTAAATAAAAATATACAAATCTCAATTGAATAAAGTAAACATGAGGTTACTAGTGACATCCACATATATTATCTTATCTTGTGATGCATTTTGAGTACAGCAAATGTTATTTTCACTCGAAACTTGAACGCGTATGTTGGCAGTTTAGTTCGATGATATGACTCCTCAGAGTTTGGCATCAAAAACCTCACCGATGGTTAGTTTTTAAAATGTCAGATTTTGTGGAAGGCTTCTAACCTCTGAACTTCTGAACCGACATCAGACTATTTTCATGGTTGCCTTCAGTCAGTTTTGAATTAAAAAGGAATGGATAATAAAACTTTTAAATGACGATGAACTGTACGACTTAGTTTGTACGAACTGGTGTGTTTATTTCGTCGAAATGCTGATAAAATTCATCATCAGCTTCTCTAATATGACTTAGAGACCGCATTTCGAGAGAAAGAGCTAATTATTCTCACTGTCGTCTGTACCAGAGCAAATGTGTACATTGAGTTCATGGTCATCCATAAACGTATAACCCAGGATTATCTATCACAACAACAGCAAAAATGGTTAATCAAAGGTGTGTGGTTGAATCCCCCGTCACTGAAAAACGTTGATTCCAATATAACACAATCAAAGTGAAATACAAGTGAAGAAATATCGATAGAAACAGTTTCTTCAAATGTTTGGAATCTCATTTTTAGTTTAGGCTGTAGCAAGTCTAACTAACTTTGCACAAACAACATGATCTCCACCAACGGTGCATTGCAATACACTTGGAACTTATTATCAAATATTTTAACTAAACAATAACGTGTAAGTGAGCAGATTGTGCTTTCTCCACTAAAATTAAATGTCATTCTGTAGATTTGGTAG